ATTTTAGAAAATATTTAGTTGTGGCTAACAATAATACACTAGTAACTTAGTTGAGGTTTGTGTGGTTCTGTAAATAATTTGTCATGAGCTAAATGTTGATGTAGAATAATAATTTTTTTAATATACTTTGGTACTAAACAGCAATTTAATTTTTTATTTACTTTTTACAGTCTAGTAAAACAACTGAACCTGGGTTTGTTGATTAAAAATTTTTCAACAAACACTTTTAATTGGATTTTACTTTTTGTCAAACAAGTCCATTTTTACAAACAAAGTTTTTCATGTACAAAATTATAACTGTACAAATGTGTAATGGTTACAACAAAATTTATAAAATAATGAATTACAATAACAAAACGGCAAGGTAAGTGAGAGGTTTTTATACTTGACATATGAATTTAATCAAGCTTATTTTCTAAGGTAATAAATGAGACCATGTATCCTCAGATGAGTAACCATAATTTATTATAGAAACAAAGCATTAAACTTAACATGAAATACAATCTTGTTTTAGTGAAATAATTGTAGTACAACACTAGAGAATAAACAGTAATGTGATTAAACAAAAGGTTTGTTTAGATGCTGTTTTCAGACCAATTTGTAAGTGTATGCAACTCAATTCAGTATTACACGTAAATATGTAAAGAAATTGTGACTTTGTCTACAAGTTGAATATCTTGGTTGCTTTTATATAAGCTTTAAAGTAGTAGTAGTATTTTTTTTATTAGCACAAGGTTCACGAATAGCATTTGTATAAAGACTGAAGTAAAGTACCATTGATCTTTCTGAAGAGAATTCTTGTAGCCCTGCATGCTTGCCAAGAACCTGAAAGTTTTCTCAAAAACTACATTGGTAGTAATGGTTTCAAGAAATTATTTATGTTGGTATTTGAATTAGTAGTCATTTGGGAAAAAAATATTAACAAGAAATTTATCGATATTAACTTCTGATCAGAGAAAGCTACCCAATTGTAATAAAACTAAAAATCAACCTGGTAATGAATATAGCTAATAAAAAATACTTTTATTAGGTTCATACTTATAAAAATTTGAATGCATTGCTTCATCAATTGGGTATCCTCACTGTTAGTTTAGTCTTAAATACATATATTAAGTTAAAAATGCAAAACAATCTATAATAATAAATATATTAAACATTCGGATAAATGCTTTTAATGAAAGCAATAATAAAGAAATATACTTACAGAACACACTTGTAAACTTTAATTGTTGTCTTAAGACAAAAACATTTTCTGATCAAAATCATGGTATACAGTTTAACTGTACACTTCTGTATGTTTACACATACCCATACCACCCACAGTTCTTTCTGTAAAATGTTCATCATTAATTTATCCATTGATGTCTGTAATGCATTGTTATTAATTACAATATATTTGTTACATATGTTACTGATAATTTATATAAATGTTATCGAGAATACCCACATCTTATTGCTATGCTATCCTCTTGCTTTCTATATATATATATATAAAGCAGGGAAGCTTGCATGTATGATCTTTTTTTTTTGTTTTTAATTTTCTTTACCTCTGTGATTTAGACAATACACTTTGTGTTGTTTAAAATCATAAAATGGTCTACTCATGTATTTGCAGTAATGAAGTCTGGTTAATAATATTAAGTGTTAAATAAAAAAAACTCATTTTAAAATAAAATTTACTTAAAAGAAATTTTTAACAAATGTCATTTTCCAAAATAATTTTTGTGGTAAAATGTATTTTAGCATTTTTAAATGTAACTCATTTATGAAAGTACAGTTATTTTTAGATTATCTAATACCACTGGAATAATTGCATTTTAGGTACAAGTGCATCTTTACACTGCAGTCAGATGCTATAAATAGGGTTAAAACTGTGTGAAAGACAGATCTTTAAACAATGTTCTATCCAAATGACCTTTTCCGGGATAAAGGCCAAAATGAGAAGAAATATTTTAAATAGCTAATTTTCCTTTCAACATTCACGTTCTTGTGAAAGAGTACCAATAAAAATATGGACTTACATCTTTTCCTAATGAATTTTATAATATTTGATGTAATTAAGATACAAAACTATTTATGAATGAAACTTGAAACTTTCCAGATGGTCCAAATTGCACTTTTTTAACTAACAGACTGCAGCTTGGTGGTATTGGATTACAAACTGTTTTTGGTTACTTATACTAAAAGTAAACTGAGTTAACTATTGTCAAACAAAGTTTTTAAAGAATACTTCCAACTACACAACATGAATTCATTTTGTTGTTTTGTTACAATTACAGCAATTATTCCCAGGAAACAAACTTATCTAACATGGTTATGTATATAAATTTCAAGTATTACATTAGAAATTTACGAAACTGTGTACAATCAAGAGGGAACAAAGTTAAGAAGTTATCACTCATAAGCATAATCAATGACTAATTAGTATTTGTTATTTAAAGCAATGGAAAGAACCTTAAGTAATAAAAACATTCAAATATATTTTCGAGTTGATGAAATAAATTATATACAAGTACTTGTTCATGATTACAACACAATTATAAGAAACATGTTACAAATTCAATATATAAAATACAAAACATATTTTGCACAAGAAATTCATGAAAATAATTTATGAATTACGGCTAAAACATTACTAAGAAGGTAGGTAACAAATGAGTTCCAAGACAACTATTTAGCTGATTCTTAATGTATAAATGATGAGAGAAGAAAAACTGTTAATTTCAAATTCATCAAGAGATAATCGAAAATAGCTACGAGTTGAATGGTTGATGGTTTTGGTGAGTTCATAAATATTGTTTTTATAAATTTGTATTTTGCAATAATAATGTTTTAATGGTGACCTTGAATTTTCAATACCTAAATAAACAGGGTTCTTCCCAGTCCCGAAAGAAAGTGACAAGTAAAGTTTCATTAAAATATCGTGTATAAAACTCTAGTTCTTCATGAAAAGTAGATGCCTACAAAAAGATATGAAAAATAGCATCACTCTGTCATCCCCAAACCCTTTCCTGTAGAGAAAATGAAAGTGGAACATATTTAAAATTTGTGGAAAAGATGAATGCCAAATAGAAGTTATCTTCAATTAGCTTCAAACTAGTAATTACAAAACTTCAGCTTAGATTTACTTACAATATTAGGTTCCTTGCTTACCATACGGTCATTGATACACTCCCTATTTTTATATGTAAGCACCCTATGAAGGTATTCTGATAATGGTTTTTCACACTGAATCCAAAATTTTTCATATTTAGTTAAATTTCTCAATTTTCCTTGGTTGCAATGCCTGGTTGCAAAGGGATTAAAGTTATCAAATTCAAATAAATAATTATACTTGAACAGAATGTGGTGAATTATGAGTATTACAGATGTATATCCCAGTCACATTAGTACGTTCTTTTATTCTTGTAGTTAGCAACTTGGAGATAGATCTGTCATATTTCTTTGCAAGTAAGGATCAATGAGAAGCAAAGAAATGCTCACAAGAGAAACATTACAGTGTTATATCTGACAAGAAAGAAAAGCTATTATACTTGAAAACAATACAAGCAAATATATATAAAATACAAATGTTAGATTTCAATTATACAGTTATTTAACACCAACAGTATCAAATAGGCATCTTTAACGAGTTTCTTTTAACAATGTTAGTAATACATGTACCAATAAATACAATTTTATGCTTTATCATTTACTACAGAAATTAAACTTTGACAAATTAAAACTAAAATAGTTAGTTTTAATGACAACTCCCTAGTCATTAAAATTACATTAACTGAATATTAATGTGGATTTTTGTATATTTTTTCTTAACATTTACAAAATACTTAAACAATTTTTTCTCAGTTACTGTAATATAAAATTACAATAAAATAATCACATGTAGCTTGCTTTTATGGAAATAACATAAAGTTATGGGGTTAGGCTTGAACCTATGTTGGTAATTTTATTCTGAGTTAACACTAAAGAAAAACTTGCAAAATATTGATGTTTTTTTTACAAATGTATGAAACACAATTTTTGTAGTAATTGAATAACAAGTATCCAAACATGAATCAGTTCTGTCTCTTTGATAAATCACTATATAACTGACAATGAAAATTGTAATCAAGGCTTCACCCAAAATAGGAATTTTTCATATTCAATGCTCATACTAATTGTTTTATGCAAGATTTTTTATAATAGTTTGGTTATATTTTTTATTAATAAAGAATCATGAGTAGTTCCACTTTGTTAGATGCAGAAACATTCAAGATTAAAAATTTTAAAACTGAATGTATTTTGTACAAAATTGACTAAAATACACACATACATACACTCATCAACCACAATAATCAATTATTGTTGGAGTAACTATTTAATACTAATTATTCAGCATATACTATTGAAATTAAAATGTTATAATTAAAACATTTGTGAACTTTGATACATTTTGTGTTTTTTCTTGTGTACTAGATTAAAGAACTTAATACCTTAAATAAAAATAAATTTAGCATGTCAATTGTAAAAATAGTTACTACTATTAATTAAACTTTTAAGTCTTCTAAAGACTGAAACAGAATTATTTTACACCAACTGTAATTTAGCTGGAATGGAATATTTCTTAATAAGTACATTTAATAAACAAAACATTCACTAAAATTGACCTGCATAAATTACATTTTGCTTTATTCTATTGTGAGATATCAAATTCTACTTTTGTCTTATTCTGTTACACTATATATTCATTTTCAATAAAATACATTGCTTTATTCGACGACAGTTACAACTTACATAATTCATTTTACTGGTATAACTGATTTTTGAAGTTAATGCATAGCGTTTGAATTTTTTTAAAAATGTCAATTCCATATCGTTATATTTCGGTGTTTACAAGAGACCTTCAACTTTTTAGTTTTTGCTTTTCGTTCTTTTTTGGCCATTCTTTAAAAATTCAATTTCATATTTAACTACAACTACTACACTTGTTCTTCCGATCGTTTCAAACCTCTAAAAGTCAGTCAAACTCCTACTAATGCTTTCTGAAAGACTTGTTTAGCTCGATTTCCAATGGTTATTACAGTATCTTTATCCCAGTCTTTCAGCGCTATTGCTAACAAAACTGTTTTACTGGTTTCCATTAAAGAAACCAGATATCTTGCCGCAGCATGCACATAAGATTCATCGTTTCCGAAAATAACCTTAGTACTGAAAACAGCTCGATCATCAGTGCTACAGTTTACTTCATGGGGTACGTCTTTGGTAATATGAACCAGTGTTCCAAGTTTTCCAAACTGGGTAATAACCACAAAAATGCAATTTTCAAAACACGTTATGCTGAAATCTGTAGGAATATTTCCAATTAATTCTGCTTCAGTGATTGTTTTTAACTGCATATTAGGCGTAACATTAGAATCATCATCCATAGTAGTTGCCATTGTTCCAACTTGACGATTACAACGCCATCTATGTTATTTAATGTTTTGTAAAAAAAAAAAAAAAAAAAGGTCGAAAATCGCAATTGTAGATTTATATGCCCGGCACTCTGGTTATTAAACATCAAAATATTGAATCACTATTTACTTAAAGTATTGCCTTATAAATGCACAAGGGTTGATTTTCCTAACAACAGTCAGGTGTATGTTATGAAATGGCTTTATCCGTATACATGTAAACAATCTTACATCTCCAGTTGTTCCTCTAAGGTAAGAAAATTTTCCTAATTTTCACCATTAAGTTTAATTAAATGTATATATATATACTTTTGTTTTAATTTCCTTTCCGCTTGTTTTTGAGCAATTTTTTAAGTCTAAGAATTTAGAAAGCAATACATATGCATTCCTCTGTACAAATCGGTAAAGCTATCTACTCTGACTAAATTAGAAGATTAAGTTATCTATTTGAAGACATTTCGTAAGTATTGCCCCCTAGTGGCACCTAGTATCTGCGGATTTACAACGCTAGAAACTGAGTTTCGATGCCCGTGGTGAGAAGAGCACCGATAGCCTATTGTATAGCTTTGTGCTTAATTAGAAACAAATCGTAAGCATTATAATGATTTCTTGTTCAAAATAAGGTTTTATTACTTATATTATTTTTACTACCGTTATCTGTTTGAAGGCGTCCCCCGGCAGGACAGCGGTAAGTCTTCGGATTTACAACGCTAGAACCAGGGGTTCGATTCCCCCCGTGGACACAGCAGATAGTCTTTATCGTTACATGAACTCGACTTGACATTATTTTTACCAAATAATCTAAAAAAATCCGACCAATGATTGTTTGTTTTGAATTTCGCGCAAAGCTACACGAGGGCTATCTGCGCTAGCCGTCCCTAATTTAACAGTGTAAGACTAGAGGGAAGGCAGCTAGTCATCACCACCCACCGCCAACTCTTGGGCTACTCTTTTAACAACGAATAGTGGGATTGACCGTCACATTATAACGCCCCCACGGCTGAAAGGGGCGAGTACGTTTGGTGAGACGGGGATTCGAACCCGCATCCCGCAGATTGCGAGTCGAGCGCTTTAACCACCTGGCCATACCGGGACCCCGCCCAACGATGAAACACCTTACAACAATATGTAATTTTATCATTTCACACTACAAATATTAGTAACGAAAAGAAAAACGATTTTCTTTCAAACAGCGTGTGTGTATTTTATAGCAAAGCCACATTAGGGTTAATTATTTCTTATACAATGTTTTGCTACAATCTAAGTTAACTTGTACACAGTTATAAGCCTAAGTTCAAAAAATAACCTTTTCATTTCCAGTTTCACTATAATTTCTTTGCTAACCAACAGAGTAACTTGATAGACTACAAACACTGAATGTACGCATTCACTCACTAACTTTTCTGAATTCTCCTTCACTACTTAAATAAGTCCTTCACACCTAAATGCTTACTAGTGCTTATATCGAATGTACCATTGTCTAAATATTGTTCGAAAGTTACTAGATTTTTGACATCATTGTGAACCTTCTAGCTATCGGAGATAGACGGAATATAAACGCTGAATTATCCAGGCTAGATATTCTAGGACTACTTGATGCTAATGCCAGCTCACCTTTTAGCAAGTATCTAAATCAAACAATGAAAATATAGTTGACAATAATATTTATACAGCTACGATAAATGTTTCAAATGTTTTAACCACTGATAGAACACACTGCGACATAAGAGAAAGGAAAGAAATGACTATGCGTGATTTTTACTTAGTACTTTATATACAAAAGGTAACTGATAATAACTAATAAACAAATAGAAAGAAAAATGATTAGCTCAAACGCTTTTAAACAAAAGGTCCTTCCTTGTGCGTTAAGATTTTGCCCCTAATGAAGAAGAATGCATTTTTTGAAAGTACTTGTGTTAAGCTTCTTTTAGAAAGTTTAGAACAGATGACAATGTTTTTGTATGTATAGTTCCTTTTGCTTTTGTAAATACCCGAAATGAACAACCATATCATTGGTTTGAAAACGCTGTAAAATGTTATCTAACAACAACAAAAAAAAAACAAAAAAAACAGAGTAAAAGGCTTAAATTAAGAATACTACCACAATATTATAACCAAATGACGAAAAAAAAATTTTTGCAATGCCAATCCACGTTATCATTTATATAACTTATTTCCGAGAGGAAGAATATTAGCCTTTTTTGTCTTGTTTAGTTTAACACCTTTAAGTAAGTGGACGCAAAATAGTTGAACCACACTGCTCAAAACAACTATATTAAACTTCAATTCAGGTAATTTTTACGCAAGTTGGACATACAATGATCATTCAAGTGATTTCAAATGATAATGATTAGTTATTCATCGTAATTTTGCAAATGAGTATTAGGTAGAGATGGCTTTTCATCTTTACAATTAATGACATTTCTTTTCAAGATGGAGATTGGTCATCATGAACAGCAAGGAAGGCCTGCAAACGGTATTGTATGTAATCACTGTTGACAGGATCCTGAGTGATTTTTAATTACTCCTCTGAAAATGCTGGTTTTAGGGCTTCTTTAGTGTTTGGAGTCACTTGACAAAATTTAACGCTTCTTTCAAGATGGGCTAGACGTCTGATGAACAAGAAGCCACTCTATTTGGTCAATCTCTTCTTCAAGGAATGGAGCAACCACTATACTGAGGATAGGGTCAATTGCATCAGCATATGATAGAACAAAGAGTCGTAGGATATGGCCCCTATGTGTGTGTACCATTCTGCAGTATATTCGTACACTAATGTTATTTCTGCTCACACCATGCTTATGTGATATTGGAATACATTATCAGTTTCTTCTTTCTTTAATATAAGTATTTATTCTGTGTCTATTCTTCGCTCTAAATATGAGCAGGTTTATACGTAACATGTGGCTAAGAATAGTTATAAAGCCGATCTTGCTTCAAACATATTTTTATTTTTTTTTATTCTCAAAGTTAGTTGTAGCCTGTTACCTCCCGTGGACAACATTGCTGCATGCGACCTTGTTCTGGATGTCGAGGGCAATGTCCTTCATAGGTTATACATAGAGGTTTTGGCCATACCACTGTGAAATGATAACGACCAATCACATGATAGTGCTTTCGTGCTAGGAAAATACGAAGTTTGAAACCTCTCATTTAGTTAGTCTGATTCCTGGTATCATTCAAACTGGACCTGATCTTGACTCTAAAGAAGAGACAGTCCATCTTAAGCAAGTGAAACCAATGTGTTATTGTTTTAAGTTTTAATTCAGATTGTATTCGTAGTGTATTATATCTTGAGTCCAGTCTGCTTATTTTTTAGCTTAAATTCAGCACTGATCTGGAGTATCACAACTTGTTCGAATTTCTCGTTAAACGAACCTATAAGGTAAATCTCAAATCTGCATTCAGTTCACCTGGGCATACCACACTTCTACTACCTGCCATATCATTACGTTTTACTATGAAAATAATGTGAACCTGCTTCAAGGTATCCTTTAAATGGATAAAGTCTGTTATCTGGCTGCAGAGTAAAGAGCGTCTTAGCTGCAGAAAATACTACTGCTCCACATATCCGATGGATATGACTATTGCAAGAGATATGTTTTGTGCTTTGCTATGAGAGGAACGTATCTCAATGGGCATCTGTTACTAACCATCTGCACACCGACATGGCGTCCAGCTGCGATAGCAAACATCTTTACAGTTTGACTAGAGCATTGTAAGTTACTATTTAACGAAGAAAAGAAAATAGAGTAAACGGATTAAGTTAAACATATTACATTATTATGGTCAATAAACGAACAAAAAATATTATGCAGTATGTACCATTTCAGCTGTTTTTGGATAATAGTTTGCTTCATCCAGGTATTCGAACAACCGTATCACTGGTTCGAGACACTTAAAATCTATTTTGCAACAATTCTCTGCGATTGGCTGGCTTTCATTAGTCCAATGGCTCTCAACGTGAAGCATCCAGATGTCCTCTGTAAGATCTAGCCATGGTTTATAAATAATTTGAACTACTTTGAACTTCGTAAGTGACTTTGAAAATATTGTATGTAGCCACCATACATCACCGTTAGCTTTTGATCCAAGCAGTTATCTAGTTTAGACTCAATGGCCATTCATTTGCGTTTTAAATCACATGAATGACAATCAGATGCCCGGTTTTCATAAGAATAATAAAGAATAGTGGTGATTAACATTGTTCTATAACTTTGCCTTGTAATAGCTACAATAATTATTAATTGTTCTGAGCAGTGCATTTTTGTTCTCCAAATCATAAAAAATTTTCATTTTTTGAAAAAAAATTCGTGAATCATGTTCCCGGTGGCTCAGTATATGAGGGCTTATAGCGTTAAAAAAATGAATTTCCATACCAAATAAAGTAACGGGAGGGAAGAGCATAGATAGCGCATTGTGCAGCTTTGTGCTTAATAATAACTATACAAAACAAAACACGAATCGTCTGTCAACGATAATGAAAAAGAAATCTACTATTTTAGAACATTGTGATGATAATTATTGTTAATCAAGTACGAAAAAAAAGAAATAAAATCAATTTGAATAATGAAAAAAAAAAGCAAATGAAATATGATTAATTTTCAAACAGAATAAATAATTTGTGAAATGTTTTAAAAGTATCATTTGTAAATTTTGCAAACTCTAAAAAATCAAAGCACTAGATACGTCACGGATAAGCCAGGGATTAGTTATTTTAGTGTTATGGCTACCGAAAGAAATATAGTGATATATAATAACTTGTGTAAATACATCCTTCATTTGCGTTTAATAAAGTTAGTTTGTTGTTAAGCTCGTGTCAAGTTATCTAGACTGTACCCATCGCAGTGATCGAATCCCGAACTTTAGTGTTATAAGCTTTGAAGTTTGTCTCTGAGTCACCGTTTTTGTCTTTTTTGATACAGTTTGACATACTCTGAATATGAAGAGGTTGTTAATTTGCTTGGAAACGAGCCTAAATTCCT